AGCTAAGAGTGAAGATTTTTCATCTCAAAATATTTTGCAAAGTCTTAAAAATATGTAGTTGCTTACAATCTTCTAGCATTCATATTAACCTGAACTATTCTGAGGAATTTTGTATTTTCACAATAAATCTATAATTCTTGTGTGAAATTAGTATTTTAGTCCTTTGTTCAATTACTATGGTGATAGCTATGGTTGAAGCATTGTATGCATATTCCAGATTAAGCCCAACCTCTTTATTATGCCCTGACCCCAGCTACACTAGCCTTCTGCATTGTTATTACCACGCTGTTCATTTTCTGACTTAGTTATCCATTAGGCATGACAGTGATATGACAGCTGCCTCTATGGCCACCATTGTATATATAATAATATAACCATAATTCAAGAGCAGGGATGCTGATGATATAGGAATTATAATACCTATGAATCCTGGCACCAAGCTCAGGGTACTTGTTATCTTACTTAGCAGCATCCTGAAATAGATGATAGATGAGAGAGAGAGAGAGAGAGAGAGAGACAGAGAGAAAACATAGAAGAAATGGGACAGGACAGATGGGTAAGATAGGATAGGATAGAATAGAGTAGGGTAGGGTAGGGTAGTATAGGATGAAATAATAATGTATAATATGTGTTATTTGTCTCCTCTTTTCCCTACAATATGGGGTGGGGTATGCTGGGCTGAGAAAAAGTAACTTGCCAAGTCACCAGCCAGCTTCCATACCTAAGAATTCAGTCTCCTGGTTTCTAGGCCAGCAGCATAACCACTACCACAAACTGAGTCTTGTTAAGTAATTACAAAATTAATTCATTTCAGCATATTTCAGGAACACATTTAACATTTAAAGTACAGTGATATGGGGGGATTTATACTTTTATTTTACTGTTAATTCAAAAGTTCCAGGAAAACATATTTGGCACATGTTGCCCTGTCACAGAAAAGTGTTACAGATGCTCAGATTGTTTAGTGTATTGTTTTAATTCTGAGGCCCTCCAACTCCACAACTGTGGCCAGTTTACAATTAAAAAAGAATTTAAAAGAAACAACATATCTCAAAGAAAGAGAATACAACTGACTGTAACACTAGTCCATAACACGAAAAGATAAAATCCTAACACAAGGTTTGTGAGAAAGCCAGGGAGTTAAACATTTGTGAAAAATCAGTAAGGTGGATAGTATAGGTGGCCTTGGAGAAGTCCTTGGAAAAGACTTCCAGAAGCCAGATGCAAAAGCATGTTAGATCAAAGGAAGCAGGAAAGTATTGGCTGGCTGACACCCTGGGTATAAGAGAGAAGTGAAAACATAGGCATATTTGCAAGATTCTGTTACAGATAGTCCTTTTTAATCTACTGGCAACTTGGTCACTAAGCAAAGTGATCACTAAGTGAAACCACAACTGAGCTTATGATCTTATTTTCAAAATTTTCCTTTAATTATTTTTTTCATCACCATTGTAGCTGCAAACAGTTACTAAATGAGGTTATCTGTTACTATCATCTATCTCAATAAAGGACGATTCTGTGGAGTTAGTTTTTTTATCCGATCTACCTTGCAGAGCTAACAGATAATAGGGGCAGAAAATAGGAAAGACATTACAGGAAAGCAATTAGATCTAAAATCTGGAATTGCTCAAAAATTTAAAAGGAACAAATATGGATTAGATCATTTATTCATCCCAAAATTAGTTTGTTTTAGGTAAGCAGATTCATAATGAAGCCAGAGAAACTTCCACTTTGGGCTCTGATTATGTTTTTCTGACTGGCCATAGTTATTCCAGGAAATAGATAAAAAATTTGGGCAGCCTTTCTAAGAATTCTTTATGATTATTGTGACATTTCAAAGTCCCACTCATTTCCTTTATTAGGTACATTGCTTTATTATAATCAAACTGTATTTTTATGATTACTTGTACTTTTCAAGCTTATTTATTATTTTAAAAGCACATCCCCCCACGCACACTAAAATCTATACCTGAAAGATTTAACTGCCTTTATACAAAATTACAAACCTTTTTGAATTTTCCATTTAATATACCGAATATGAAGGTTATTAAATGAATTCAGCAATAGATCAGGAGCCATGGGGAGGTTAATGGAAAACAGGGAGCTCATCCTATTCTACCACTCTTCTTAAGCTTCCTCATGAAGCAGAGATTCTGCAGGAAGGAAACCTGTAATGGGGAGGAAGATAGTGAGATAAGCAGGATACAAGCGGTGCAGAACCTTAAAAGAAAACAACAAACCACCTTTGCTCTGGGGCTGGAAACAAATAGGAGACCAATACATTTGTCCAAATCAAAGATGTATGAGAATATTGAAATGGTATAGGTTCTTCTGCTTGAGCAGGGAGCTGGACTAGAAGTCCTCCAAGGACCTTTCCAGCTCTTCTCTTCTCTTCTCTTCTCTTCTCTTCTCTTCTCTTCTACTCTACTCTACTCTACTCTATTCTTCCAAGTTGTCAATAAATGGACTGTAACAATATTAATTATTGTATTTAACATATACCAGCATATCCCTTTTGGGATGCAGTGGAGAAAAATGTTTCCTTTTCACTGGTAATAACATCAATAGTTATAATGTGTTCTTGTGTTTGATCATTGGCTCTTCAGCCTGAAGCTTTGATTTGCATTCCAGTAACATATCTATGGATTGAAATGAATAAATTGTGGTGTGGATGCAATTAACAGCTGCCTGGATAATATTCTGTGGTTGGTTAGTTTCCGTTTCAGTTTTGGGTTTTGCTAAAATAAGGGCTTTACACCAGGATTAATATACTCATTTACTTTTTTAATTCCCACCATTCCCCCCAAAGGACCAGTATTTCAGCCCTACCTACTAAAGTTATAAAGCCTACAGCTGTCAGTGAATTCTCCCTCAAGAGAAATGAAATTGGGGACCTCAGACACCAAAAAGCTTCAATCCCATCCTAAAATAAATACAAGTAATTCAACATACAGCTTATATAATGAAATTCTAAACTAAATGTAGAAACCTAGTTCTTTCTGTTGCATAGTATTCCAGTAGTTTGATACTGATGCCTCAGAAAATGTAATTTGATACTGATGCCTTCCCCTAGCTGAGAAAATGGGGTATCTGAATCCTGCCTATACACTTGGTAAGGAACAATAAAATCCCACTAAAAATGGCAATAACTAAAATTGTCTTAGGTAAAAAAGATCTTATTTAGCTAACACTCAAAGTTAAAAGAAAATTAAAAACTGAATAAATTACTTAGACTAATTTTCAGGAGGCCTGTACTTTTTGACATTTTAATGGAAACTAATATTATATTCAACTATTTTAATCACTGCCACTTCTATTTTAATCTTGCAATGAAGTTATTTCCACACCAAATCATTTTTAAACTAGGAATTCAAAGTGAAAATATTGTTTTTGAGAAAGGTCAAAATAATATGTTAGGGAAAGATTGGAAATATGTGATTATTTTTTTAAGCTGGAAAAAAACTTATTTCCATTTACAACTGTTGAGAAATTTTTAATAGATGTTGGATGATAAAGGGCTCAGACCAATGAATTTTCATTTCTTTTTTCCATGATCTCTATATAATATCTTGAGCAAGAAAAAAAAATCAATTGAATGTCAAGACAGATCCCAAGAAATGAAGCACATGGGAAAATATTGCTACCATTCTCCAGGATACCATCCTCCAAATAGTTAGCATTTAGAAACGAACAATCTCCTGAAATTTGTGAGCAGATCATGCTTCTGGATGTGGAATTAGATGCAAAATGGTGACATTAAAGGCACTGATTGTTTATTGCATCCATAAACTGGGTTATATAAATCAGAATCATGCTGGTGCCTGAAAGCCAAAATATGCATTATGTGTTTGTCATTTACTGAGATTTAGCTATCTTTTCTTAATTAATATGGTATCAATAATTAATTACAAGAAGGTAGAGATTTTTATTCTAAAAACATGTAGCAAAGGAGTGCTTACCTTCTTGATCCTCATTCATATGTTAAACAAAATCTATTTCATATAACTGGTTTGGAGCTTCTTTATTTAAAAAAAATCTTTAGTATCAATGGGAACTCTTCCTAAAGCTTCAGACTATGTTTAGTCAGCATATTTTCAATTGGAATGCAAGAAAGAAATGAAGAGTTAAATCTTGGATAAACTATTGTCAAAGTAAAAAAAAAATTCTGCCTATTTATCCTGTTCATCATGACAGATATTTTAGTGTGACTCTTTCAGTGAGCTTTCATGGCTGAAGATGGATTTCAGAGGTTGTGGGTGTTCCAACACTAGAGGCTTTTAAGAAGAGACTGGACAGCTACCTGTCTAAAATGGTATAGGTCCCCTGCTTGAGCAGGGGGTTGGACTAGAGAACCTCCAAGTCCCTTCCAACTCTGTTATTCTGAATCTAGATCTTCTGGGTCAAAGCCATCATTATAGTCACAGTAGTTCTTATCAAACCCTAACAGATATCCCCATCTAAAAATTATGTTCAGCATTATTGATATACACAGAGATCGATTTCTTTTTACTTCCAGTTGCCACCTATAAAACCTGATTGTTTCACCAATTCTGAATTCATATTTGATTTTTTTTAAATGGAAGTATATTTTTAAAATACCCAGAGAATAACTATTTTTAAACAAGGGGAGTTTTATTAGGCTCTGGGGAAATTGTGCCTGTTAAACAAAAAGAAGGTCCACCTATTCAGTTCAACTTCTCTTCTTAAAACTATTGGGATGCAGAAGTTCTTCATTTTTCTTAGTTAAGAAACAGCTGAACTGTGTATCCAGATATTCTTCTCGCACTGAGCAATCGTCTTCCCAGCAGTCTAAAGCCTGCTTGACTTGTTATATTCCAATTAAATCTCAAGGGAAGACATCACAAGGGAACTTTTATCAGAACAGGAAGTAAGAACAGCATGGGAGGCTGAGGAATGATACAAAGGTGAATCACAGAAAGAGTAACAATACCATCTGCTACTTTAGTGCTTTAAAATGAAATAGAAAAACCAAAATTTATTTTGCAAGAAAACATATTGGGCAAAAGAAGGCAGCTTTTGGTATTTGAAAGTAAGTGCAAAGCAGAATTTGATATGATCTTGAAGACATTTGAATGAAACAATAAATTATGTTAAATACATATAGCTGCATTCTATTTTTAAAAAACAAAAAGACTATTAAATTTTGAATTTCAATCATTATGCAATTCAAAGTTTTTACCCCCCCTGATATTCTGACTATCCACAAAATATATTCTTGGTACAAAGCCATTTTAATTGTTTCCTGCATATGATAAATTTAACACAGCTGAAATGCTCCAAAATATTAAACTATTCTCCACACTTAGTAGAAGTACATAATATATAGATGACAGTAGTTGCTTCTGATCATTCATTATGTGTATCGTTACCATCTTCCTTAATTCTTTAGAATAAAACTATTTTGAAAAAAAAAATACACAAAAAAGAAACTCCATCAAGTGAAATTCACAAAACCTGTTAATGTTTGCAGTCTCCATCATCTAAAATACTGAACTGTCTCTTGGTTTTGGTGGCCTCTTGCATTAGTTCATGTAGCTGTCCAACTTGCTCATCTCGAAGGGCATTAAATTTCTCCTCTGAGAGATGTGCTCCAAAATCAGGCTGATCAATGGTGTTTTGCACATGTTGATTAGCCTGCTGCTGCAGCATCATTTTGTAGTTCTAAGAGGAGGCAAAAAAGAAATGAATAAGGTTGATGACAATTTGGTGAGAGGTATACTTTTTCAAGGTGGGGACTGTGGAGATGATGGGTGACCTTATTATTAGACAAAGGTGTTTTTTATGTATTTCAGGATTTTAAAAAATAGAAATGTAAAATCAATCCAAAGGAATATAGACCTCATCTTTTTTTATTTTAAATCATGAAATAATCATGCTTCCATACCTTGAAGAAGAATGGAGAAATAATTTTTGAAGCATCCCCAAATTTTTATTTAAACATGACCAAGAATATCAAGTAGGTCAAATGAATCTGACTGCCAACCAATATCAAGGAAAAAGATGTCTATGGAGATTCTCAGTCATCCAGGTCATAGTCATCCCAAAGGTGGTTTTTCATGAAGCAACTGAACTTTCTTGTTTTTCTTTGAAGATGTTTCACTTCTCACCAAGAAGCTTCTTCAGCTCTATGCATCTTCAAAGAAAAACAAGAAAGTCCAGTTGCCTCATGAAAAAGCACCTTTGGGACAGGGAAAAAGATCTTGCTCCAGAAAGATCAGTGTTTGAGCATCTTCCCTTTTTGAAACCTGACCCAGAAATTCAAATCCATTTTTTTAAGCTAATGCTGGAAATGTGAGGTGCTATGTCATCCTAGTTTATAACAACAATAAGCATTTAAGAGACCAGCGGATACTTTTACAAAAGCCCCTAGTCTTCAAGTTCAATATTGCTGGATGGTCATTTTGCTAACAACAAGTACGGTACATCAGAACTTAAAGGAGCATTATTGTTATTCTACCCTTTTTATCTTAAAGTCAAAATCTATTACTTTAACTCTGTAATACGTAACAGGAATCTATGAAGCAATTATTTACACATTCAGTAGCTTGATTGGCAAATTTCAACCTCATTTGGTTTGAGAATTAATTAAATTTGAAATCATCCGCACTCAAGAGCACTAGTAGCTTCACTGTCTCATTTGCTAGCCAATATTTTTTTCACTTCTGCATCAACTTCACCTTGAAATATGAATTTCCACACAATCACCAATTTAAATGATTTTCAAAATATTAACTGAAAAAGTTAAGAAAATCAGTCTATAGCATTAAAAAAACTAATAAAAACTGACAGTATTTTACATTTCAGTTTGAATTCTTAATTGTTGAATTCTGTAGCAATGAATCACTGAATCACTGTGTTTGAAAGTGAAATACCTGTTAAACATCAGCTCTCTTCTCCATGTTTTTTGGTAAACTTTTTTCTACTAAATTTAAGTTAAACATATCTGTGCTCAAACCACTTCTTATTTGAAGTATCAAATTTACCTGGCTCAATAGTAGTAACTGAGAAAGGGAACTTGGGAGTCCTAGTGGGTAGTCACTTAAATATGGGCCAGCAAGGTGATGTAGCTACCAAAACAGTTAACACAGTCCTAGGCTGCATTAACAGAGGGATAGAATCAAGATCTTGTGAAGTGTTAATAATACTTTATAATGTTTTGGTAAGGCCACACTTGAAATCCTGCATCCAATTTTGGTCACCAAAATATAAAAAAGATGTTGAGACTCTAGAAAGAATGTAGAGAAGAACAACAAAGATGATAAGGGGACTGGAGACGAAAACATATGAAGAACGGTTGCAAGAATTGGGTATGTCTAGATTAATAAAAAAAGGACTAGCGGTGACATGATAGCAGTCATCCCATACCTAAGCCTGACGGTGTTTCTTGTCTCCCAGTTGGATAAGAGGTTTCGTGGAATTCTGTCCTATTCTTCGTTACCTACCTGTGATTAGTTCGTCTCTTAGTTAGATCTTTATTCCTCTTTAAAAGATTAGTTACCTTACCGAACAGAAGTCTTCAAAACCCAAGGGGTAGTGAGGAGGTTTTTAAGAAGAGATTGGACAACCATTTGTCTGAAATGGTATAGGATCTCCTGCTTGAGCGGGGTTTTGGACTAGAAGACCTTCAACATCCCTTCCAACTCTGTTATTCTGTTAAATCATCACAAATAATGCTAGGCAAATCCTTTAAAAGAAATAGTTTAAAAGACTTTATGGTGAATGCAAGAACACCTCCTTTGGGATTATAGCAGCATCTTTTTTCAAGCCCTTGTACTGTTTCAGAATCTGCCTTCAGCTGCTTCTGTGCATGAATGAACATACAGTCTTCATGGGGGGAGATCGCAAGAGACATTATAAATTGAAGAGGCCCTGCATGCATCATGCATGTAGAATCAGCAGATGCAGTTCTATTGAACTAACATGAGAAAAATAAGAGAGACAGTTACTCTAATTATTGAAAAAAGTGTTTCATTTGTGCTTCCACGCATTCAAAAATCATCTTTCAAACAAATTGAATAGCACTTGTTATTACTGATCTTTCGCTTTTATCCAGATGGAAGTAAACCACAGTGTTAAACTTGCATTTAGTAGATCGATCCCTTTAAAGTGCTTTTTTTCTTTGAGTTATGACCATGTAGCAATTTAGGGAGGTCATGAGGCAATACTCTTAGAATACTGATCCAGCTAGATATCATATCCTTAAAAACAGCGGAATCAGAGAATGGGTTATTCACATAGAAGGAAATCTATTTCCTATCTTCTCTCTTTGTTATCTCCAAACTAATTTATTATAAAAACAATATTTGGTATGTTATTATCAGCATTTCTATAGGGCAGTTATAGATATTCTATACATAAAGCATTTCTGCCCTTGTAGATCTGGAATAATTGAAAATATTATTCACACATTTTTATATTGTATTTTTTTTACAGAAATTGTTCTTTACAGAGATAGTACATTACTCCATTTTTGTTGAAAATCCCAGATAATTCAGATCTGTTTTATTTTTTGTACATTTATTAGATAGGTTGAGATGCTATCACAATGTGGCAAATTTTATGTAACATGCATGTTGAGACTCTAGAAAGAATGTAGAGAAGAACAACAAAGATGATAAGGGGACTGGAGACGAAAACATATGAAGAACGGTTGCAAGAATTGGGTATGTCTAGATTAATAAAAAAAAAGGACTAGGGGTGACATGATAGCAGTCATCCCATACCTAAGCCTGACGGTGTTTCTTGTCTCCCAGTTGGATAAGAGGTTTCGTGGAATTCTGTCCTATTCTTCGTTACCTACCTGTGATTAGTTCGTCTCTTAGTTAGATCTTTATTCCTCTTTAAAAGATTAGTTACCTTACCGAACAGAAGTCTTCAAAACCCAAGGGGTAGTGAGGAGGTTTTTAAGAAGAGATTGGACAACCATTCCAGTGTCAGAAAGGAGATAACAATACTCAAAGTATGATTATAGTCCATACTAATGGGATGTCATTTTTTTTATCAGAGTGTAAAGAGCATAAGAAGACAGAGGTAAGGAGTTTTGTTAATATAATTAATATTACAATCAAAGGCCAATCTGGTAATATAGCTGGCCTTTAGCTAATGCAGATTTTGTTTTGTATAGATCAACTGATCTTGAGGATCAGCAATCTATATTACATGTGATCTATGCAGATGGTAAAGTATAGTAAGTATTTTGTAAGTAAAGATTAATGTTGATGCATAATGAGAAGAGGCAAACTGCGACACGCCATCTCTGGTTCAATCGCACTGTACTAAAAATATATGAAAGCAATCTGAGAGCACTTATTTCCCCCTTAGCAACTGACTACTTTAGACTTGAAGAAATGTAGGTCTAATAAGAACCAATGAATGATAAGTGAGTCTAATCAACCCAGCAGCTCAACAGAAGCACTTTAAGGCAGGGATCAGCCTTGGTAGCAAAGAAATCCCATCATATTAGATGCCAGTCCTCATGTTTTAAATGAACTCAGGTAGTGGCAAGACAAGCCCTATCAATGAAATATGATCTTCACTTTGAATACCATTATCCTAATTCTCCCCTCTTGAAAATGCTATGTTCAAGGTTTAAGCACTCTGGAGATCCCAAGTTAAGCTGCTTTATTTCTTTTGTATAAAATTTCCCCATTCCAATTCCTATTGATGAATGTGTGTCTCTACAATATAGATGTTCTAATTTTAATTTATACTGCTGTTTATTTTATTGGACAAACACATTGGAGTTTATGTCTGTTTGGCAACTGGTATAATAAATTCCCTTTTGGCCTGACATTAGCATGTGGATTTCATAGGAATATCTAAAGGATGCTTTTCAAAGGCTCATACGGCAGACATCTTTCAATCTTCACCAAATTAGCTTTGCATTACATGCATTAAAAAAGGACTACGAACTCTTTATTTTTGTTTGCTTTTTTTAATGTAGTCTAGAAGCAAGAGCTTTTGCATGTTCAGTCTAACACACCGAACACAAGCATTGCTTTGTGATTATTAAAATGAAGAATAAAGCCTTTGAAAGTGTTTGCAATTTTATAATTGATATTATTGTAGAAAAAGGCTGTAGATAAATTAGAAAATGTATGTTGGAAAAGTGAATCTAAAGAAGGTACTTTTTATCATCTGGTGGATTTGTGATAAAGCAAAGAAATATTGGGCTCAGATTCATGTTATAATGCAGGTTTTTAAAACTAACATAAAACTGAAATCTGAAGTTTTTCTTATAGAATTATTATGTAAGGAGTTGGATAAAAGATTTGGAACTTTATTATTGTATACATCAACTGCAACAAGAATTCTATATACACAGAAATGGAAAGATATATCAATCCCCACAACAGAAGAACAGATGGAAAAAATAATGCAGCTAGCCAAAATGGCAAAATTGATTGTTTTAATTAGAGAAAAGAACATATCCAGCTTTTGGTTTTACTTGGAAACTGCTTTTGGATTTTGTGCTTGAGACAGAAAAAAAATGAACACTTGATGTTGGGCTTTGCTGATTAATATAGTTTGTAGTTATAGAAATGTCTAATATTTGTTAAGTTAGTAAAGTAAAAGGTTGAGGTGGTAATTTTATTCTGAACTTTGCTGCACTGAAAAATGTTGGAAGTGGATGCTTTTGTTTTCTTCCCCCCCTATGTACA